TTTAACATATTGTATTATTATTTGTTTTTACTTTATTTATTTCTTCTTCATCTCTGGCTTTCCTCTTGTACGTCAGTGCAGTGAGAGGTGCCTTTCATTAAAGTTTGATTTATGATTTATTTATTTTTATTATGAATAAATATTGTGTGAACGAAATCTTTCTCACTGTAACTTTTGTATTTATTTTAGCAAAGTGTTATAATACTCAATAAAATATACAAAATGTGGTGTAAGTAATAAAACATTAAATGCAGACAAAATTTTTAAAACTTTCACGAAAATTATCTTTAATATAAGAATCATCTATGTATGTAATAGACATATTAATTGACTTAGAAAATAAATTCTACTTTTAAATCTGAAGTTGGAGGGATTTGTGTAAAGCTTGGTGTAAGTGGGGGAGGGACCGAGTGGCCGCGGAGTTGCGGTTTCCTTCCTCTCCAGGTCCTGCCAACCTTCAAGTCACGACTTTCCAACTTTAAGACCCACCGGCATCACAGGTCATAAGTTTGATGATATATGTTAACCATCTGTATATGTATATATATATACAACACTTTGGAATGTAACTACTATATCTTCGCACTTTTATCGGCTATCAGTTTTTCTTCAATTATGGAGAACGTTATAGATTAAAAAAAATTCTATACAAAACTGCTACTTGTGATAGCTATGTTGTCAGTAAATAAATTTAATTATTCATTTTTATTTATTTATATTTTATGCAATTTGCACCGCCGCGGCTGTGCATCTAGCAAATTTGTTTTGACATAATTCTTTGAAGTTTTTAACTGATTTTAAATTAATAGAGGGGGTTTAGGAATATTGTTAGTTGAAAATTTGTCCTCAGTGTTAGACGACATAGGAACGGGTAGAGGTGCTATTTCTTTAGGTGATAACATTTGTTGTTTTTGTGATAGACGATAAGTTAGATTTCTGGTTAGTCCCTCTACTAGGAGTAGACGCTCCTGTTTTATCCTGCTTAGAAAGGTTTATGAAGGCAGGAGTTCGTTTTCGATTAGTTACAACTTTTGGTTTTTGAGTTTTTATCATCCTGCAAGTCTAAATGTGACTTGCTATTTGAGGGATGAACTCTTTTATAGCAAGTAGTTAAAAAATTACTAACCTTCTTTTTTCGAAGAGAGAGTATTTCTTTCCGGATCAACTTTTTAAAGTTGTTCCTTTTTGTTTTCCAGTACTTCTTGCTTTCAATATTTTCGTCTAGAAATCGATCGATATCGAGTTATTTCAATTTTAATATAAATTGAATTTTTAAAGTTATTTACTTTTTCAATCGATCAGATGTGTGATCATATTCATTTATTGTTGTATAAAATCTCTGCAACTTGTTATATTTAAATAGAACTAAAATAAACATAAATCCATGGTTTAATTTTTAATAATATATATATATATATATATATATATATATATATATATATATATTAAAATTTAAAAAGATTTTAGAAAATAAATTATAAATATTTTTTTTTAATTTTATTTGAAAATTAATATATACTGCCGCATTGGAGGACATTAATATTAAGGGGACCCTACACGGTCAATCGGAATTGCACTAATGACGTTCTGAATTGTCGTGTAAGGTAGTGAATGAAGTACTGATGGGGGTGCGCTGCGGATTTCCGAACATCCGGAAATCAAAGGTTCATTCACGAGAAGTGGAGGGGGAACCGACTAAACATATGGGCTGGGGAGACCAACCATACTGCTGGATAGGTTAAGGTACCTAGGCCTCACAACCAAAATAAATTTCTGATTTTCATTATATGTAAATAGTTAAATAATTTTTCATATCCCTTGTTTATAATTTTAAACCATCTTCAACTATTTCTTTAAATAGTCAAGTAGGCAATAAATTGGAGAGAGAAAAAAGTGGAAACTTCACAATTTACTTATAGAAAAAAATCTTTAACTGTTGTGTGTATTTGCCATTAATTTTTCCATTTTGCTTAACAAATTGATTATTTTCGCAATACTTTTCATAGATTTTTGTATGTAGTTGACTTATATGTTGGACTAACTTTGGTTTAAACGATTTTCAGGCACTAGCAAGTAATTATTATATCTCCGTTTTTCTCTTGATGCCCAATATTATAAATGACAATGTCCAAATAAGCATATCTATGCTGTTTCTTTGTTTACAACTGCGCTAAATTGGTCAGCAACGATCTAACCTAAATCAGCAATGATAAGTAATGATCAGTAATGATTGAACGTGTAAGGCTCTTCATGATCAAAGCGATAGCGGGCAATCTTGGAACTTCTTGAGACGTTCATTCATGAATTACCGTGTAGGGTCCCCTTTAGGGCTACATTAAACATTCACACAATATATATATACAAATGTAGATATAAAAGGAAAAGAGTTTAACATACATAGATAAAAAAAAAAGAGAGAAAGTGAAAAGCTAGATGAAATTGAAATATATTAAACACATTCACACCTATAAATTATAAATAAAATTAACAATACATTATTATGATTTTTTTTTTTTTTGTCCACCTTGCCTTTTATGCTATGCGGGGATTTCTCTTTGCCGGGGGAGAGGGTGGGATGCTAATGCTATAGTTAATAGCCCCTCCACACCAGGATGTGAACTTAATTATTTTATATCGGTAAACTACGTTTTATTAATCATCGGGTTGCATTGCTACTGTGAGTTCTATTAGGAATTCAATCACTTCTTCAATTAATAGTGTGACATCAACTGGAGTGGTAAATAAATTCTTTGGTACTCAAAAAAGTTCAGTATTTGAGTAAAATACTTGGTTCTCAGTACCCAAAGTAGCGTTTGCACTCCTCTGGTTTCAGTCACCCAGCTCCTATCATTATGAATTATGATGATTGAGAGTTAAGTAAATCAAGATGAAGTTTCTGGTGTTTACCTACAAATGTGGAACTATTATTAAATGTCCTGATGTTTCTAGCTACATTATAGGACTACATTAAGTCCTACAATATCATTAAAGCGTTAGAGCTTATTAAGGAGAAAATAACATAACTGTTATCAATAGCAACTATTTTTTTTTTCATCGATTCAATATCAGTTTTTAAATGAATAATACAGTCCTTACTGTTTTGAAATTATTTGAAAAATTTACATACACATTGAAAAAACGCATGAATTTGAAGCGAAGGGATTACTATGTAAGATAAATAGAAGTGAGATAATAGAAGTACTTAAGTATACGTAAATAGTACTCAAGAAAATAGAAGTAATTATGAAATTAATTTGAAACGCTGGTGAATAAACAGCCAGGAAGCTTAGAAATTACAATATATAGAAGAAACGGAAGATTGAGCTACCTAGCTAGCTAGCATTGTCTTCCGGTTATCCTTCACGTTTCTCTTGCCTCTACACTTTATCATTACTTCTCTTTTTTGCCGGCTGAAGAGTATTATTTTCTGTATAATGGAGAAAACTATTGAAGAGAGGTCTCTTCCCCAGAGAGATAATATTATCTTTCTTCTTCTCGACCACCTGTTCATTACTTTCCATTCCTTAGGTATTTGCTATTGTCTAAGTAAAAAGTCATTCTGGAATATCATGAGCCATTTTAATTTTTTTTTTTTCCTTTAAAGCTAATTATGCCTAATGAATTGCTGGATTTTAAATACACAAAATGGCACAAGCAAGATCTCCGTAAATAAATTAGATGTACAGATATAAAATAAAAAATAATATTTATTCCTTATAAATTTATTGATATGGGTTAGGAGATCAGCATTTCAGCTTTCAAATGTTTGTTATATCGTTGAATTTGGAGAAAACTTTGAGGAGTTATGATTTTAGTTGTTTTATTGATGAAAATAAAAAAAAAATCCTCATTCTCAAAATTTTTATTTTTTATTGCAATATAAATTCGTATTTAATTGTTTTCAAGGACGTTAGAAACATAACAGAAATAGTTTTTCTCGACAAATAATTACATGGGCTACTTGAATTTTTTTTTTGTAATTGTTTATATATTTAAATTTATTTAATATAACCAGCAATGTGTTTTGCTTGCTTTACTAATAAAAAAAGAAGCAACAAAATCGGTTCAGTAGTTCTCGAAAAAATCTTGGCACAGACAGAAAGACAGAAGAATGGCTAAAAATGTGTTTTTTGGACTCAGGGGGCTCTGAAACGTATAGATCCATCGAAAACCGCATATCGGAAATTTGACCCGATTGCAATACTTTCCTTACCTAGTATAGGTAGGAAAGTAAAAAAAAAATGTTATGTAACATAGCTATAATTTAGAAAGTTATGTTTGAAAAAAATATTATAACTGTATAGTTATTTTTTCTTAGCTCCTTTGACACATTGGCAACAACATATTAGCAATAGGTACAGATACTGGACCAAGTTTATTCCTTGATGTCTGAAATGAAAAACGAAGCGTTTAGAAATTTCTGATTCTGTGCACGAAAAATTGTAAATCTTTGCAACAAGTATTTTTCCGTCCATAGCAATGAAATAGGTTGTAACATATTCCGAAGTTCTTATCATCTAAATACAAAGATGAATGAATGCCTTATGACTAAACCAAACATGTTACTAATTGTAAGTGCCGTTTTATATTGTTTATGTTCAATTATTAATTTATAGAAATTCCTCAGACGGACATAGTAAGTTCGTTCAACTCGAATTAACTTTTGACAGATGGATGTCTTAAGGCCCACTCACTAAAATGATAGAAAGTACATAAAATCTAGTATATTACCTTTATTCCAGTTAAATAAAACTGATCATTATACAGAAACTAAATATATACACATACCTACTTACATCTCACAGATTAATGATTCAACAATAAACAGACTTACAAGAACAAAAATGTTTTCAATCCAATATTTTAAGATTAATAACAGTCCTTGGTACTTAAATAAAAAAAATCTTGCTTTTCTTTCGAACAATATTTCTTTGCGTTGACACAACTTTGTGCCTACGAGGGGATGAAGGAAGGCGAAAACGGTTCCATCCCGATCCTGGGGGAAGGAGGAGGTTTAGATTGGAGGAAGGGAGGCGGTTGACAGAATCCTTAAAGGATGTTTGTGGCGGCACCCTTCGAGCTATGTCAGTTCTAAAGGACCCTCCAAGGAAGAGTACACCGAGGCTTCATAACCGTCCCTGCAATATATTGCTCAAACAGGACATCCACCAAACAGTCCATCCTAAGATCAAAGTTGGCTGTCCTGCCCTCCGGCGCTACAAAGCAGGACCCTCTCCTCCTCCTGTGTGTGGCAGCACTGCTATCCTTTGCTCTGTCATATCCAAAGTAAACATCTTCTTGTTTATGCCACTGCGAGTAATATATGCTTATAACTCTGGTTATGGAGTAATATTGCCAGCAAAACGCTGAACGATCACGCTAAAAGAAGAGAAAGTTCAGAAAAGCTCCAAAAGCAATGCTGCTAACTATTTGGGCCATGCGAATAATTCGCACAGTATATTGGTCAGTGATCAAATGACAAATAAATAAAAAAAGAAAAATAATGCAACCTATCATAAAATGGAGAAATCAGTTCTTATTTTCTCGGTATTTATAATCGACAAAAATTAAATTGAAATTAATTTAAAACTAAATATATTTCAAATTTCAATAAGTTATATCTTAGCTAATAATAGTCCGATGTCGATGAATATTTTTTTCGTTTTGTAGATTATTTAATAATATTTTAAATATTCATGGGGTTAGTGTATAATTTTTGTGTTATTTGCGAATTAAAGTTCTTCCTAAATTTTTTTCATGAAATTTCAGTATGATGTGACTATTTTTCTTACCTGAATGAGAAAAAAACCTTCAAAATGATGGTTCGATCTTGAGATTTGATGCATAATTAACGTAGATATGGAGTATCGACAAAAACAATTTTCATTAATAATATAAACTCCCCCTCTTACGATTATAGCTACCTTAAGTCGACGGTATTAGATATGTGCCCCATGGCAGTTCTACAATTAACTTGAGGTTCTGTGGATGCGAACCATTTGCCTTGCATGATCTTGAAAATGGTATATTTTGGGATTTAAAACGCAGGGACTACATGGTCTTGTGGTCAGCATAGAAATCTTCAAATCCCATCGATCCAACAACTTATCACTGTTCCACTATTGGAGCCTAGCGAAATGTTTATTTCGACGTTATTTATATTAGAAAGAAAAACAAAAGCCAAGCGTATGATTACTAACCCCTAGTGAAATTTTGAATCCAACAATACCCCATTCATGTCATTTGAGCATGACGGGAGTTTAAAGTTGGAATAAAACTGACTTCGAGACGTATTGTTATAATATATGTGGGAATATGAGTACCGTTTTTACAATGGTCATAATGATAATATTAAATATTATATTAAACTCGACTTCATGGGAAAAATGCTTGGTATGAGATTAAGAAGGAAACACTTCATCTTTAGCCTGCTTCATGACTTAAGTTGTAGGCTTTGTTGAGGGCTATGCTAAAACATGATACAATAATAATAGAAATGGGACCAAGAATATTGTAACATTAATTGCCGCAATTAATAGGCTGCGCCACTGAGAAAGGGTTGGAAGCAAGGCAGTTCTGTACCCCCCTCCCCTCCCAATATTTTATAAAGGGGGCAGCCCAAAAATTTTCATTTTGTAGGGAAAACTTTATACTATCACCATGAACCGCATACTTTTTAAGTTATTCGCTAATGAAATTTACTTTTTTGTTCATAGATTTCTTATTTTCCCCCTGAAATAAAAGAAAATCTTCAGAATGATGGCAAATTGTTAAATTGATAAATAATTAAAAAATGCATGGCGTACAAAAAAAAATAATAACGAGAATATACCTTTGAGAAACAATAACAAATATGAGAAGCTTAAATAGTGAAATGATTCATTTATTATGAACTTTTTCTTTATGGTTAGATAGTAGATGGTTCATCTTTACTAGTGGGCCCTTACTATTATTATCCAATAATGTGAATAATATTTATTAGTGAACAAATGACAAAATACTAAGAAAATTTTTAAAAATCAACTCATCATAAGAAAAAGGAATCACTTTATATTATTCCTTAAATTTAATCCACCAAAGAAAAGAAAATTATAATAAAAATTCACTCGTTTTAAAACAAAATCTTTACGAATTTTGATAACCTATGTCTTAGCTAATAGTGGTCGGAATTCGATGATTTTTTTTTCTATTGTTTTGAAGAGAATTTAGTAATCTTTCAAATAACCACAAATGTATACTTTAAGTTTTCTATACCTTCATATTCCCTGAAATTTCGGGCGGATTTGATTATTTTTTCCACCTGGAGAAGATCTTCAAAATGAGGGGTTAATGATTGGATTTGACCTAAAGATATGGTGTAGTGACAAAAAGACACAAATATTATATAAACATTACCTCATTTCTCTGTTTTGTTGAATATCATACTACATATCATAATACATTTTAAGGTATATTATATGATATATAAAATTAGTTTATAACAAATGCAGTCCTTATAAATGAAGCGTTCCTCACTTCATAGTCTAACTCAAAACAATTTTTAAAATTTAATTTTTTACAATATTTTTTTCCGTAATTATCTTCTTTCCAAATATTGATATACCAACAACTAACGTGTTGTTAACAATTTATAACCATCCCTTCCTTTCAGGCGAACCATGATTCATTTCATATCTCCATATTTCTTCTATTTATGAAAATAAAGGAATTAATATAAAACATTTTAATATCATCATACCAAAAAAATTAATAATCTGCAGGTTTCTTATTTTCCCATCAGCTTATTTATTTTGTGTTTGATTTATTAGAGAAAGATAAACAAATCCGATATACTTCCGAAAAATAGAAGATAAATATATAACTTTTCACTTTTGGATACTTGTATCTTCAATACTCGAAGAAACGAGGATATGTGGAGTTTCCCAGAAACCTTTATCAACGAAAGACGTCAATTGGATAGGCTTGTCAGTAAAAGAAATTGAAAAGAAGTCGGACGAAAGAGATAAGTGTTTGGCTTTCCCGTCTATAAATATCCAACGCTTTGTCAATAACTCCGACTCCCACATCTCAGAATAGAAATTAATAACAGCATTCCCTAAATATAGTTCAATGTTTGTGATGGGTTAATTAATTGTAAATAGTCACTTGTATTTCATAATCATCACTATATATAATTTCTACCTGTCCTGTACGAATAAAATAATTTTGTGTAATAAATTGGTCAGTGAACAAATGACAATATATTAGGGAGATAATTACAGTGTATGATAGGAAGGAATTAATTTTCGTTCAAAATAATAATACATGTGCACAATTTCAATTGGCTGTATCTTTGATAAAAATAGTCCGATTTCATTGTGTGAATTTTTTTTGAAGTGAAAACAACTTTAGGCGGGTTTTTCAATTATTTTGAGCCGTCAGATCTCCGAGGTGGAACGCTCGGATAACGTCGGCTGGAGTAGACTATTTAAGTGTTTTTCATATTGATTATAATATCTCAAAAACTATAAATAGGACCTGCATATTGTTGGAGAGAGAATTGTTCACCATTTTATATTTTCTATAATGGGTTATTATTCAACAATATATATTTACGTGACGTCATATTAGAGAGGTGAAAAGAGAAAAATACTTACGAAAAACAAATTATAACGAGTTTTATTGAAGATATTGATTAAAACATTTCATAAACTAAACATCACACCTGCATACTGTAAGCTTTATTTATTTTATTTTTTTTACTGTAAGCGAGGAAAATGTTAAGCATTTCTTCCATTATATAATGAGGTATTATTTATAATTTATATTTTATATAATTAATCTCGCCTTGTTAATGTTTTCAGTTCTGTCGTGTGGTCCACTAGCGGATCCAGGATATAAGTTTGGGGGAGGGGCTCCAGTCCGGAATTTTTTTTCATATATATAACGATAATTACTTTGGAAAAACAGAGAAATACTAGCTGTCAATATGATATGGCGTTTAAGTGATTCTTGAAGTCCTATTATATGTAATTAAACGAGCAATTATACTTTTTTGGGGGGGAGGGGTTCCGTTCCTCGATATTAAAGCTATACGGGGTTTTTCCCGGGCCAGAGGGTATGGGCAGGGATTTAAAAGACTCCCCCGCCACAGGAACGCTAACTCTTGTCAATTTAAAATCCATTGTATCAGGTTGCCAGGCAACGGCGGTGCTGTGCACACACGTTAGCCCGTTCGGCCACCCTGTCCACAAGCGTGCAATAATACTTTAATACATAATTTTTTGGTATTTTTTACCATTTTGGTGGGGGGCTTCATCCCGAAAGCCCCCTCCTCTCCCCCCTGTAAATCCCCCTGTGGTATGTTCTAAAGCCCATACCTTAGTTGGACTTTCTTTTTGTTTTTGAGATTTTAGATATTCTGGTTAGTAATCTATATAAATGATTTAGGAGACCACATCTCGAGGCCAAAGATCTCCATGGCCTGTAATACCAGCCGAAAAAAAAAATCTCTATAACTGACCAAATCATCGGTTAAACATTTTTCTTTCAAATCTGCTATATGGATTACAAGGAACACACATTAGTTTTTTTCCATAAAATATTTGCTGATGCGTGGACCCCTTGTCATTTATTCTGTCAAATGTTAATCCAAGATATTTTACTTTGCTTGCTTTATATTTTCAAGGAAATAAAATAATAGTTTTCATGTCGAAGCGTAAAATGATATTTTAATTATTATTATTAGTTTAATAAAATTTAAATGTCATAAAAAAATCTCTGTCACTAAAGATTCGTTTGCGACTTCAGTTACAGATAATATCTTGTTACAGACGGTATTCTCATGTTCATTTTAATTCTCATAATAAATGCCTTATCGTTGAAATAAATGGGAGCGAAAGTATAATTTTAAATATGTCAAGTAGAGCTAGGAGAAGTGGATTTATTATTAAAAGTTAGTGGGAAGTAAAGTTTATAACGAATCCAATTTCATTGCCGTCCATCCTTGGCGAAACAACTCGGCCCCTAAAGAAGATTAGGTAATTGCTTTTCCATTTAAAAAGTTGAAAGAAGAGGTAATCGGATCTCTCTTCTACTTCAACAGAAAATCTATATTCCCAGCTACTGTTCCCAGAGCCTGTCTCTCCAATACCTCTCCGGCAGCCGAGGGGACGGCTTTAGCCTCGCAATAACAGGGAAATAAATAAATAAAAACATTCGAGAGGAAACTAAAATCGAATAAGAAAAAATCATCCAGTTGGAAATAAAATATATTGTTTTCAACTCCGGCGTCATATTTTTTATGT